TGTTTTGGATACTTACTAAAACAATATATGAAAGTAATGAGAAAGTGGCCACTTTCATGAGTAAATCATGTAGTCAGTCAGTGATGGATGTCTCTTATAATAGCAGCAGTAATTCTGAGAAGATCTCTTTGTATCCTCCGGACCTTAAATACAAAATGAAATGAGAGCTGGTTAGAACGAAGTTCTACAAACTGTTTATTAGATATTGGTCACAAATATAAGGTCCCAACAGTGTAACCGTAAAACTTCATATTTATCTCATTTTACACTGAAAATGATGAATGTACTGAATTTACTGTATTAATTTAACAAATTTTATTTTGTTAAATTAAAAACAATATTATTATATTCATTTAAGCTATTACATTTGCATATATATGTATATGTTTTATATCTGTTATTTATGTTTCACTGTGCTCAGCATTACAGTATTTTTTTTAGGATGCAGTAAACTGTAAAACAATAATGCTGTTTAAATAACTGAACTGTAATAAATCAACTTTGTCTTGTGATCTGAGGTCAGCAGAGATTGAAGTTTACCGCCTCTACATCACAGCTAAGAGGGTTAACAGTCTTAATAGCCAGCATTATGTGATTAAAAATGATCAGAGGAAACTCTGTTTCCTGATAATAAAGCATTTCTATTCTTAATCAAAGATAAATCAAAATATAAGTTTGGTCAATATGTAAATGAGAAATGTAGTTTGAGTCGTAGAAATGAGTCTTATAATCTCTGAGAACTGTGTCACCGACTCTTTAGAAAAATTATTAAGTATTGTCATTGTTAAACACAGAACCATGATTTATATGTGGTTTTACTGTTAGTAACATAGTCAGATAGAGAGAGGGGATAAGGTGTGGGTGGATCTCGGATAATTAAATGTCAGCACCTTGATTGGATGGCTAAAATGTGAAGATGTGACATCCAGTGAAGGAAAGGGGAGAAAGGGTGAGCAGGTATAAAAGAGATTCTGAGTTCTTCCCTTTTGTCTTCTGTGAGATGAGC